TTATTAGGAAAATACGTTCAAGAAACGTCTCGTGCTGTACTAGCCAAATTCTGGCAAATGTTATTTACTTTCTTCACCTTCGTGACGAAGACTGTTGTTTGCTGATGGCCAAATCACGACAGCGGACATCAATTATTCAAAATATGTTCTTATAGCTTCACGTTTACGATACGAAACACGTTTTAATGTAAGATTATTTATTTTTTGTATATGTAGGTTGTAGTTGAAAGTGACAGCGACAATGAAAAAAGTGCAAACAACATTGAAATATCCAGTTCACTACTGTCATTACTAGCTCAAATCCTGCGACATATCACTTGCTAGTAGCCCAGTCTAGTTTAACCTTTCCCAATCAAGAATCATCTCCTGAATCAGGCATACTGGCACTGGTTCATTTGATAATGTAAGTTTTTAAACTGGTATTTTAGATTATAGCCTCGGTCAAATGAGGATGAAAGTCATGCATGAATTGCTTATAAATACACAAAGGACATTTCAAGTTCCACATGAACAAAATATTATTAAAGCTTTGATGAGTGTTCCAACTATGTTTCAACTTAATTAAAATACTCTCATCCTCGTTTGATCCATAATTATTTGTTGATTTTACTCGATACTAAATAGTGAAACATCGAATCCAGATAAAATCTTATGCAGAATCCACTGTAATTCCAAGCTGTAATCACATAATTATATAAAAGTCGTTTCAGTAGCAGCAAAAGCCAAACTAAACACCAACTAGGATTAATAGGTTTAGCTTTTAGGCCGAGAATAATACACAATTGACAATTTTGTGGCTGATTGATTTAATAGTATACTGTATATTGATGTTGTTGTATACAGGACATCTGACTTACATGTCAAATTAATAGTCGAATCTATGATTATATTGAGCATGGCAGATTTGACATTTGAAACATTGTTGATGTTAATAACCCAATGAGTCGCATTGCGCCTGATGCGCACTAAGTATTTATTATTTTACTCTGGTTATCTAACGCTAGGCAATTTTACTCATCAAGGGGAGAGCACTGGTGGTTAATGTGTTAACTAGCCTATCTGCCCATGTTTACAGTTAACCCATTGAGTCGCATTGTGCCCTAATGCGGCCTAATTTATTATTTTACTCTGCCTATCGCAGGAAATTTTACTCATTAAGGGCAGAGCGCTGGCGCTTAATGTGTTAACTGGCCTATCTGCCCATGTGTCTAGTTAACCCATTGAGTCACATTGCGCCCTAATTTATTATTTTACTCTTTCTAACGCCAGACAATTTCACTCATTAAGGGGAGAGCACCGGTACTTAATGGGTTAACTGGCCTATTTGCCCATGTTTATAGTTAACCCATTGAGTCGCATTGCGGCCTACTTTATTTATTTTACTCTGTCTCGAGAGGAGAACGCTGGTGCTTAATGGGGTTAATATTGAAAATATAGATCAACATTTGTCAAAACTCATGACTTGTGCAATCATTTCTGTAATAATTAAGATATTAAAATACCAAATATAATGCCTTATGGCTTATTTCAAATAGGGAGATGCTATGTGACTATGTCCATTGAATCTTAGTGGATTTGTTGTAGCTACATCAAATAAATGCTAGCCAAAAACATATTCAAGTCAATCGAAGAGAATGTAGAATTGCACTTTACATAAATTTCCCTAGTTATTGTACATTAATGAAAAAAAAAGTGCATTTGAAATGGAAATATATTGTTTTAATTTTATTTCTATGGTTTGTACTATGATATACATGGGCTATACCATGGCTCAAAGTAACGGCCGATCAACGATGAATGATCGGCAGGAAGTTGTTTTTGATCGGCGAAGAAGCAACGTTGCCGTTCATCTTGATCGGCAAGAAATATATTTGAGCATTATCTGAAAAGACATGCTTACCTGTACGCGGTAAAAGACAAATAAAAGTAAACATAAAACACATTCAAAAACACGCGAAAAGCTCTTGTTTGGTTGATACGAGTCATACGACAGGAAAGGCAGCAATACTATTCTCGCTCGAAAGTAATTAATTTACTTTTATTAAAACAAATTTACACGAAGTATTGTCGTCTTTTCAACAGTATACAGTCTGCAATCCGAACTGCTGAGGCGCTGACAACGAACGTATCTTTGTCATAATAATTTCAAATTGATAGGATTTTTTGAGTAGGATTTTTTAATATTAAATAATAAGTTTTAGTTCTTAATTGATAATGCTGCTGTGTTTCTTGCTTTTGTTTGAAAAAATGCAATGCCAATGGTATAATTAAAACTTGAAAAGTGTTATAATAAAATAAAGTTTATTAAGTACTAGTTTATAAATGTAGTTACACTATTAGTATAGTTTAAACTTCAATTTGAAATAAAGTTAAACTTCCTGTTCAAATGTGTATTCAATGGCATTGACAATGCCCACTGGCATATTTAGAATTTTTGGAAGGAAATTAGGGCAAATGCTCCTGATCGGCCAGATTTTTATTTGATCGGCAAAAAGTCCTGATTGCCGATCACCATGATCGGGAACGTTGCGAACGTTATTTCGAGCTCTGAGGCTATACACTCTTTGGGAACCCGCAGGGCTGTTGGCAGAGCATTTCCATGATCTGGAACTTCAGTCCTAAACACGATGTGTGGGTGCGAAGATGTTGTGTAGGAACAGAACTGTACAGATTAGAAATATGATTACTGATATTTTCAAAAGAAAAACTATTAATATATAGAAGAGGAAAGAAAGAGGCAATAAATAGCCCAAAGTATCTGTTGTACATTTGAAATTTAAAAATGGTAGGCTTATTAAGGATGAGATACAGAGAAAAACAGTAATGCAGAACTACATTCTCTTAAATTGTCAAAATTAAACGCTACCAGTCTTGGTCTCGTTTCAAACTTGAATAACGAAAAGTCTAAAAATATAAAAACTATAAGAACAGATCAGCTAAGTCCAGTTATAAAATTAAATGATGAAGGAAAGCTGTCATTTTAAGAACGTATTGTTTTGGGGTGTGTGAACTCATGAGGTTGCATGTTTCTGGTGAATCTGCTTGCTGCAGCAAAAATTTATTAATCGTTTGTGACATAATTCACAAGATGTCTATTTTAACCTGTGAGTTGCCAAACTTCTTAAATATGGAATTTTTTTTGTCTGACCAAGATATAATGAATACCACTAGTGACATGAGTATGTCCAATTAATATTTAACTAGAAATAAATGCATGCAGCAACCCCTAGCCTATATTTTCCAAACATTGATTTAACATGAACTATTAGCAATTGGCTAGCCTGCGAGCAGGCTCTCTGGGTAAAAGAGAGCCTGCAAGGATCCCTATAACATTTACGTGCATGCGTCCAATATTTGGACGCAGAGCTCTGATTGGTTGATAACTGATTCACATGAAGTGATTGACAAGCTTCCATAAACTACACTTCCCGTTTGTAAAACCGAGCAACGCAAAGCTTCGGAATTGCGGCAATGTAGAGATAAAAGTGTTATGTATTTTGTATCCTTGTTGACTTTTTACTGTAAATTAATATAGTACGTATTCATATAAAGATGAATACTAAAATATTGCATGCTTTATTGTGTCCTGGGCTTGTCTGACTCCTGGGCTAAGAATAATTCTTGAGAAAGACTGAACAAATTCGCAAACCAAAACCTAGGGACAAGGCATTATATCGCTTCTCTTTTATGAAAGAATATTGAGAATTATTCTGATAATATTCAGCGCATATTGTGTGTATTAAGCTTGTTTTACAATGTTACTGACTATTTAATATTTATAAGACAGACAGTACTTATGCGGCGTTAAATGTACAGTAATTTACTCGTCACTTTGTTTACAATAATTATCAAATGCATGCATGTTTAATTCCACTTCCTGTTGCAAAATTTGAACTATAAACATATTATTAAATTATGTCCAATGTCCATGGTATATCATATATGTCTATGTCTCACCAAAGCCATAAATTTCAGTAAGTTATATTATTACCTACCTCCTCCGCAGGCCTTTCGATGCGGGCGGGAATAATTTGCGGGCGTGAAATTTGAGATCAGGGAAGAACGGAAGGCGACAAAAGGCCTGCTGAATAATAGTCGGTTCCTGGGCAGAAGTGACGTTTCCCGGGTATCGGTTTTCAATCCTTAAAAATCTTCGTGAAATATGAACCATCCTATCCCAAAACTATTGTCCCGTGTATGGTAAAGTATTTGTGATACTTCAGGGCAGTCATGGTCGAAAGCAGCGACGAACAGAGGGGAAAATCGAGGATTTCGACGATGTTGACGTTCTTAATAATATGTCATTCTGTGAAATGGAAATATGTATGTATTTTACCTGATTAAATATCATGTAGATCATTGACGCGTTTTATAATGCAATTCATAACAAGCAGTCGTAACACAATGATATCGATCGCTATGAACAGGACACGCTTGAATAACGCCATATGTTGACAATTAATATGTTGTGCTCATCGTTCGACGGCAGCGATGTGGATACTCTCAATATATCGTTTTCAGAAATGGACTTGGTATGTAGATTTTTGTGGTAATGGAGATTCTACATGCAGACATTGTGTTATTATACTCAAAAGACAAAGAACAAGCGAACAATGAGACGCTATATTACTTCTATTTACATTGTAAATGTATATTTTTAATATGCAAATATAATTTCACCATATTTATCTTTCAAATTGTGCTTTTAATGTTTCATGCAGACTGATATTTGAATCTTATCTAAAGTATTTGGAATGGCTTATCATAGGCTTAGTCGCAAAATATGTAGAAAGCGGATATAATATCGTTGATGTTGTATTTGCATTGGCATAATTTGTATAAACACTTTATATTAGACAGTCTCCATCGTCATAGAAAAGCGGCGGCTAGTTATAAGTACTTTTTAGTCTGCCAAGACTGCTATTTCTAAATATTATTTAGATCTATTAGATCAGTGCTGGTATGTATATTGTATATTAAGTCATAATAGTAAAGTCAAAATGAAAATTTCGATTTATAGCATACGCCATCTTGAAAACATTACTCGGCAGGCGCTCTCGCCTGCAACCCGCATTTTCCGACCCTGCCCGAAATGCTCCCTCAGCGCCTGCGGAGGAGGTAGGCTATACTATATAGGTGATCCGCTATACTATATAGGTGGTCTTGCAATACCGCTATACTATATAGGTGATCTTGCAATACCGCTATACTATATAGGTGATCCGCTATACTATATATAGGTGATCGTCTACCAGCTATTTTGCATACTCGTTTGAGATTATCTAATAGTACATTAAACTACGATGTATATTTTAAAAATTGTGTTTCTTCCTCTTTTTGCGCATGTGGTTTTCCAAAAGAAACTACAGCTCATTTCTTTTTCGACTGTGACCGATATGCTGCTATTCGGAATACTTTGCTCACCTCTGCTGCTTCCTTACTCGGTGCAGCGTGGTCAGGTGCTGGTAAGGGTACACGTCTTAAGTGGTTACTTTATGGTATCGGGAATGTTTCTATTGATACGAATATTAATTTATTCTTAAGTGCCCAGTTAAGCCTTTAGTGACTTTTGGCGCAATTGCCAATTTTTGACTTTAATAAAATATTGTTTATATATATATATATATGTATATACATATACATATATATATATATATACATATATATATATATATATATATATATATATATATATATATATATATATATATATATATATATATATAGATATACATTTTACCTCAAAAAACCACAACAGTCTGTTTCATCCGTATAGGACCACCTGATGATTCCTATACGGATGAAACAGACTGTTGTGGTTTTTTGAGGTAAAACGAAAAACTATATTACGCTCTATCTATATGGTATTGAGCACTGTTTGTGTTGCGTAAACCAAAAACTTAAGCTATATATATATATATATATATATATATATATATATATATATATATATATATATATATATATATATATATATATATATATATATATATATAAAAGATGGCCAATTTATCAAAGATGAAAATTTATTTAAAATATGTAAAAAAAACTTTGTGTGTTCAATTCGTCGAAATATTGACCAGTTCTCTTTTCTATCATAAGCACGTTAAGATGTTTCAAAATCTCTTGCGGCCGTTTTCGTTGATATTTCGTCTTCATATTAGTTTGGAAGTCATTTCCTTTGAACCTGCAAACAAAGTACAAACATACTCTTTTTGGTCGTGCCCCCACATTTAGTAGTCGTATTTCCACACCCACGACGCCATAACGTTGAACAGAATATTTCATACTTTTTGTGTTTGCTGGTGTTATGTACTCAGCCTCAGTTAAATATGATGTTTGTGATGTTACTCTGATAATTTCATGATTGCGGGTATTCCCTTTGTTCTCGCAGGGCAATTAAAAACTAATACACCTCATTCTATTCATATTTTCTAATCCTACCCGCTTTTACGTCATGTCAGGCAGAATTAGTTCTAATCCTACCCGAAACGACGTCAAAGCCGGTACGATTAGAAAAAATGAATATAAATGAAGATATCTGAAATCGCCAAAACTAAACAACGACATGGAAAACAATTATACCATTTAATTTATACATTATTTATTAATTTGTTTTTAATGGCCCTGCGAGAACAATGGGAATACCCGCAATCATGATATTATAAGGTAATAGCATAAAAAGAGGCGAATTAGCTATTGAAAACGTCCCGCCCGATGAGGGTCGTTTAGTAAAATTCCCTTGGGCGCCGGTCGATTCGGGTCATTTAGTAAAATTCCGTCGGGCCTTCGGGTCATTTAAATGACCCTCATCGAGCGGCGCCCAAGGGAATTTTACTAAACGACCCTCATCGGGCGGGACGTTTTAATAGCTAATTCGCTATGCTATTACTTATAAGTATGCATCCACACCGGGCAAGCTAGATAAAAAATTAGTCTATATCACCAATTCGAACCGACTTGACCTCGTGTCTCATAGAGCCAATGACTAGGTGTAAAAAAATACCTGTGGTTCCGGTTTCATATCGTGAAAAAATTAGGGTCGGTAGATTCCGCGGAATTTAAAGTTTTTTTTTGAATATTTTTTTCATGGTTTTTGCGGTTTTTTGCTGGGCGATTTGCAGTAGAGTCCCGACATCAATATTAACTAGAGATGCGTATTTCCTATGGACGAATTTAGGCAATTTGGTTCAATAATTAGTGTGACAACAGACGCCATTCAGGGCACGCTGTATCAGCAGCCCGCAACCACCTGGAGAAAATAGGGTCGCACGGTCAATCGCGTTGAAAAAATAATAGGGTCGGCTGAAAAAAATAGGGTCGGTCGGGAACCGGAACCACAGGTATTTTTTTAAGTATCCCAAAGATCGCGGGTTTGATTCCCACCGCGGTCAGGCAAACTTTTCAGCTTGCCCGGTGTGGATGAACACTCAGAGTAACATCACAAACATAATATTTCACATTCAACGTTACTGCGTCATTTTGTTGAATATTTTGTCAAAACTCCATATTTAGTCAACTATTGAGTTAATGAGTTGATATGAAGATTTCAAAGTTGGCTGTTATTTAAATTTAAATTCTATTAACAAAAACATGCCCAATTTCTCATTGCAGACACGAGAAACAAACAAGAAAATACAGAGAATGAAAATAAAGAAATTATTGGTATTGTTGAGTAATTATGCATAATGACGTCACAAGGCTTGATGCCCGCGAGGAATGCTGGTCTTAGTAGTCGTCGCCCTGGAAAATTTCGATTTTTATTTAAATTTATTTAGATTTTTATTTTTAATTTTTTTTTAATTTAAATTTAAATTCTATTAACAAAAACATGGCCAATCTCTCATTGCAGACACGAGAAACAAACAAGACAAGACAGAGAATGAAAATAAAGAAAATATTGGTATTGTTGAGTAATAGACCTTTTGCATAATGACGTCACAAGGTTTGATGCCCGCGAGGAATGCTGGTCTTAGTAGTCATCGCCCTGGAAAATTTCGATAGTGGCCATTTTGAATTGTTTAATTTTCCCGGGCGATGACTACTAAGATCAGCATTCCTCGTGGGCATCAAGCCTTTTGACGTCATTATGCATAAGGCATATTGCCCTGGTTTTTTTTTCTTAATACGATACATGCCAATGGACAACTTGCATGTCAGACTAAATTTTAATCTAAGCAAAGAGAGGTGAATCAAACACCACAGCTAAAAAGAACATAATGAAATTAGTAAAACTGCCAAATTTGGTCGTGAAATGTTGTAAAGCTTGGAAGATATAGTCTTGCAAAGTATGAAAATTTTGTATATGTTTGTATTACGTGCGGAAATTCTTACCATTTTCGGCTCAAAAATGGTAACTGCAAACTTCGCAAGGCTATATTTTCCGTATTTTACAACATTTCGTAACCAAATTTTGCAATTTTACTAATTTTAATAAGTTCTTTAAGGGAATTTACTTTTTTGCCTAGATAAAAAATTTGTCTAACATGCTCCAAATTGTCTATTCGTATCCACGCATTCATACTTTTGTAGGTACTGTACATACATCGTCAGAAGCTGCACTTTTCAAGGATATTGCCAATGTACATCCATCGCCAGTTGCATCAGATATTGCCACGTACCACAATCCCAATGACACAAAATCTGGTGAATGTCTGAAGAACTACTTTGAAGATATCCTATTAATTATCATTTATCATTTTCCATTCTACGAATCCATTCCCTTACTTAAGTCATTTTATCAGGATGCATTTAAAAACATTGTGATTTGTGGTTCAGAGACCTATTCCCATCATCATATAATGGTAGTTGATATTCACCGAGGACACTACGGTTATGAATGTGTTGGCGAGGCTATACGCAGGTACATTGAACATTTATTTAAAATTAAGTTTGTCTTATTTGAAGGAACATTTAAAATTATATATAAACTTCCTTTACAATTATTCCGTATCTTGCTTGGTTTTCGAAATAAATCGACTTATTTTGATCAAAAGCAGCGTGCATTCCGCCATCTTGGATATGCATTCGATATACGAATTCGAGAGTTTGTATATCAGATAAATATCGGCTGCTCATATTTTAACTAGTATTTAAAATACGACACATCTTATGAGTTCATCGGCGACGTAATTTTAAAAATAAACATTGTCTAAGCCGAGAAAATCATAGCTGAAGTTTATGTAAGTTTTTGTAAGTTCATACATTGTTTTCGAGTGTTTGGATATCCCGGTGAGACACGAGCTCGAGTTGTTTATATGGCTTCTCAAATGAATCGAGACGTAACAGAATGTTTTCGTTTGCTGATTTGAATAGAATTCTTAACCAAGCATAACGTAATTAGGAATTCTATTCAAGTAATTTTGCATGCGTAATTAAGATATTTGATAAAAACACTAGTGACTTTCATCAAGTTTCAACGGGTTATCCAAATGGCATCTTGTGATCAAATATGTGATTATCATTGGCTGAATTACTCATGAATTATTAATGAATTCGAGAAAGTATTTTTTAACATACTCAACAGAATAAGGTTAGGAAACGCGATTCAGACATAATAGACCTCATTACCTATTTTTTTGTCTTGGCTATGCAAAAAATGGTCGGTTTGTCGTCACGTGTGTATTGTTTTTTCGCCCAATCAACCAACAGCAGTGTGTTGGTTAAGGTTTAGAATTTCTGCGAGTGTTTATGATAAGTGTTTAGATTAAAATCCGTGTTGAGTGGGGGATAAGTTTCGTCTCATCTGTGGTCTCATATGCGTAGGAGAGGTTGGCTATGGGCTACAGTCCCTCCCCCCCCAATATTTTTGGTCGGGCACTTGATAGTTAAATGTCTGGCAGAAAAAAACGGGCGGATTTCCACTTAAAAATTGGGCAATTCTGCTTTAGTCACCATTATATCACACAACTGCCTTAAAACAGGATCTCGCGCTGCTGGCTGGAAATCGAAATTTAATAAAGATTTATTGCGTGTAAATTGAAACTTATGATGGTTTGCGCTAAATTGTTGTTATATATCTCTAGATATCCCGATTACCGTGGCTACTTGTACATAAATGACGACGTGCTTGTGAACTGGTGGACATTCTACAAACTTGATAAGGAGAAAGTTTGGCTAGGTGCGGATATTTGGATAGATACAGCTCATATCATGGGGAAAAAAGAAATACCAGATAGTTGGGTTTGGTGGAGCCAGTGGAGTAATTCTGCAAAGGCATGCGAAGACTCTTACTTAGAAATCACGCAGCAATATCGCTCAAATGAATACATAAACATCACGAAATTGGTAGCAACACATCTTCTTAATGGCGAAGGGAAAAAGCGTTGTTTCAAGACGTGGTCAGACATATTTTATGTACCCAAGAGGTTCAGTGATCAGTTTCAGCGAATCTCTTTTGTGTTTCATAAAAATCGAGTGTTTTTGGAAGCTGCTGTTCCGACCATTTTGAGTTTCCTAGATTTACGAAGCTCATGGGAAAAACATTTTGGGTTGTATCTGCCGGACAAGTATGGCTTTCGTAATTTTGCCGATGGAAAATTAGTTTGGGAAAGTTATAATTATGATGTTAAATTTATACATCCCGTTAAATTTCATGGGGATATAGCCAAACCCAACAGAGATAAGTTAAAAGATGATTTAATACCCTATTCTAAACGTTTCACAAAATGTTAGAAAATGCTGTAGAAGAAACATCGAGATATTTGGGGCATTTCGCTCTATAGAATTAATAGTAGATAGGTTTTATTTAGATGGAATATACTGTACATATTTAGTATAAATTCAGTATTGAAAAATGAAATTCAAGCGTTCTGATTGGCTCCCTCAGCATTAACTCCGAACAGTAACTATTCACTATTGCATTCAGAACAAAATGGCTGCCGAAAATCCACTTGCAAACAAATCATCGAAGAAAAAATTGAAGAAATTAAAGAAGATACTATCAGGGTTTATTTTAAGAAAAATTTAGAACTGCACATATTAAGGATGTTACGAAGCATTACGTGTTTGACTGGGGGTCAAAGGATTTTTATCTATATTTAACGTTGTAAATTTATAGTTAACGTTGTAAATTATGATAGACTCTTAATTTGTATATAGGTGGCAGAATAAAGGTGTGGTTGGGCTGGGCCAGGCAAACTCGATTCTGGGTGGGAGAGCTACAGGTAGAAGGTGTCCCTCCCAAATTTTGAATTTAGAGGCTCGTAAGTTCTGGCAAAGATTTGTTTCACCCAACCACCCACCAAAACTGTTTCAAAACATGTAACTGGGAATCATGAATACTCAATATACTGATGATCTTAGGCAGCAAAGAATATTAGGTTCTCCCACTCTAATCTCTTTTGGATAGCTTCGCTCGCATCAATTTTACCTCATGTTTCATTACCCCTAGCTACAATCCTGGCAAAAATTACGTGGACACCTAACTTTCCTAACGCCAATATTAACATTGAGACGTTCTTTCGTGAAATTTGTCACCCCCTGCCCCCTATTCAATGTTGTTTCTCGCATTCAAATTTTAAAAGTTTCATTTATCAACATTGAGTTGGGGGTAGGAGGGGGAGAAATCTTCTGGCGGATTAATTATGTAGAAATAGATCTATTTTTGTTTGACGCACGCGCTGTCCACGATAATTTTTGCCAGGATTGTCTGAAATTATCACATATTTCCAACTGCCTGATTTCATGAATTTAAGGCTCGATCCAATGATAAAATAGGCTTGTTTGTTTAGCAAAAGGAGCAGACAATTAGTAAATCAGGTTATATTTAGTTTTTAACTTTCCGATCTATGTTAAGTGTCACCTATCACATTACATGTCAAGTGGCCTTTTACGTATTATCGGGATTTATACAATTACAAGTTAGTCTGCAACTCTAAAAAGAAATATATTCGTTTTACAAATTATTGAACATTGTGGAGAACGACGATGTCTTATAGTACTTAGTCAGACAGTGCGAAATGTTCAGCCAAAAAATGCGAGGTTTGTTTACCTCATAACTTAGAGCCAAACAGATCTATCTTTAGTTCCTGAGCGTGAATCATTTGCATTATTGGTAATACACATGCATTTCATAATGCAGATCCTTTGTTAGCCTGCAACATTTCGCAATGGGTTTGCAGCATGGAGCATCATATTCCCGTGTATTCATACATTATATAAAACTGTACAAATGTGTAAGTAATGTTATTTTGAAAGTGTAGTAAATTGATACAGTACACGGCTATGTAGCGTAACCAAATTCACACTAAATATAATAGACTATAGGGTTATTTTAGTGTATACGCATCCGAAGCGCTCACTATTTTCAGATTTTTTGTAACAAGCGCAACCCAACAGCGACTGTAGAGCGCCTTTAATCTAACAGTGACGTCACACGGTACACGGCTGTGTATCGTAAAGTAAAGAATACACAGCTTAAATATTTTAATCACCACACTACACAGCCGTGTACCGTGTGACGTCACTGTTAGATTAAATGCGCTCTACAATCGCCGTTGGGCTGCATTTGTTATAAAAAATCTGAAAATAGTGAGCGCTTCGGATGTGTATACACAAAAATATATTTAGTGAGAATTTGGTTCCGCACTTAAAGTACTTTTGTTGAAAACTGGTCTTACTGCGTCTGCATAATTAGTTCAGCAAAGCGTATATCATGCCCAAAAGCCGCTCACCCACAAAATTATAAATATGCTTTAAAAAACAATTAAACCAGTTTAAACAATCTGTTTGTTATCGTAAAGCAATGACAGCATCAAAAATTTATAGTAAAAGGCCTGTTTTGGGTGAAAATTATGGATATTTTTTTTAGGTCATTTTCAGACAATCCTGGCAAAAATTACGTGGACACCTAACTTTCCTAACGCCAATATTAACATTGAGACGTTCTTTCGTGAAATTTGTCACCCCCTGCCCCCTATTCAATGTTGTTTCTCGCATTCAAATTTTAAAAGTTTCATTTATCAACATTGAGTTGGGGGTAGGAGGGGGAGAAATCTTCTGGCGGATTAATTATGTAGAAATAGATCTATTTTTGTTTGACGCACGCGCTGTCCACGATAATTTTTGCCAGGATTGTAGCACGTATGTGATTTGTGAGGAAAATATGAGGATCTGGTGGTCCTCTCCATAGATATCTTATATAGACTAGATAGCGCATCTCTTTTAGTAAAATTGAACCCAAGAATATTCCAGCGGTTACCCCCATTTGAATAGATGGCGGCCATGTTGGTGTTTCCCACTCGCTAATAAACGCTTAAAAAACAACAATAACTTTCATCATTTGAATAGTTTAAAAATGTATTTGGAATAGGTTTACTTTAATATTTAAGTTCCGTGTTTAAGAAATAGAAAACATACGAATCTTCTCATTTCATGGGAATATCCCGAGTCTGCAATCACAGCTTCAATTTTTGAATTGTAGAATAATTAGATGCACTATCTAGTGTATATAAGATATCTATGGCCCTCTCCCAGAAAACATTTAGATTTTTGATGCACAATGACAGCATTTCTGGCATCTGGAGCATCCACAAGGAAAACGAGTAAATGAGAAGACTGTTTTGAGGTTATATTTTTGTTAATTTGGTGACTGCACATTTGAGTTTTAAGAACTGCACAAATGGTTTTAGAACTGCACATTTTGTGTAGAACTGCACATTAAAATAAACCCTGCGATACTAGTCCTCTAACAGCAAAAGAAGCAACAATATATAGTGTTAACCTATTTCCGAAAGACAAAAGCACCTTTTAGATGCCTAAAACAATTTATTTCGCAATTTAAAACCGGAAAATAACATAATCGGGCGACAAGGTTCGACAGCAGTATTATTCAACTCCATCCCTCTACGCAGATGACACAGAAATTTATCTATCCTCTAAAGATTGTGATGACATTGTTATTAAAATAAACCTTGATCTTGAAAATATTCGAAAATGGATGCTACAAAATAAGCTCCAAATTCATCCGACAAAATCGAAATATATGTTTATTGGATCAGCGTATAATATTAAACATAAGGTATCTGGTAACCCAATTCTTGTTAATAACGTTCCAATACCCAGGACTGAAAATTATACTTGCCTTGGCGTCAACATTGACGAAAAATTGACCTGGGAAAACATATTGATATGATATGTTCAAAAGTCAGTGCGGGAATCGGTGCTATAAGACGTATTAGGCCCTTCGTATCGTCTGCGACACTAAAATTGATGTACAATGCTATTGTGCAGCCCTACTTTGATTACTGCAGCACTCTCTGGGACAACTGTGGAATAGGCCTCAAGGACAGGTTGCAGAAATTTCAAAATCGGGCTGCAAGAGTAATTTCTAGTGCGACTTACATATGATTATTATTAGATAACATTGATATCGAAGGAACCAGATTCTGTTCCGAAATATCACATATACTCGAGCCGACCAGACCGCGTAGCTCAGTTGGCAGAGCATTGGGCTAGTATTCCAAAGGTTGTAGGTTCGATTCCCACCGTGGTCAGGCATATTTTTCAAGCTTGCCCGGTGTGGATATACACTCAGGCTGATAATGCCATCAAGCTTGTTACAAGTTGTTAACAGCTTGTTCCAAACTTGTTAAAACAAACTGGGAACAAGCACTGCGAACACAACTTGTTGACAGCTTGGGAACAGACTTGTAGCAGCTTGTTTGCAGACTTGTTACAATTTGTGCGTTTTTACATGTGACCACAATCTGTAGCACTTACCCTTGATCTCGAGAAAGTACAAATCCTTACCGTTTCAGTCTGAAACCAGTTATAAAGCTCGGCTGCTATTAACAGGGTTACTCCCTTTGTGCTACTGGCATGAGTACCTGGATTTGGTATATTTCTTGAAAGCTCTGAAGTCAAATGATCCAAACACTGTTGTGAAGTCTACGCACGTAAAAACGCACAAGTTGTTCCATGCAGAGTTGTAGACTCGAATCGTGTGACTTGGACTCGAGTCACAGTTTTTGTGACTTGTTCAGCATGTCAGGGACTTTATAATAATGCTGTTCATCATGCTTTATTGTATTGCAGAAAGACAGAAGAAGTTAGAGAAAGCTGGTGGTCTTGGATACAAGATCATCTTCCAGTTAGAACATGCATGGATTTATATTCCTTGGATGATCAGAGTTTTATCAGAACCTTATTGGGGGACTACTCAGTTTTAAGTAGAAGTAATGACAGTTTTAGTGATGACTTTAAGTTAAAATGCGCGATGTACATTTCGTACTGTGTTCAAAACTCGGTCTTTGATCCGTTTGTGATTAGATAGTTATTAGCCTATTATAATTTAATCATTAATCTTATCAATTTGTAAATTTTATAATACCTAGTTTAAATTCTTTTGTAAATAATTTACTCTTCAACTGTGGCTCTTACACATATACTATACGGTTGCAAGCTGTGGTACCTGAAAAACCAACACATCAAAGAACTTGAAAGGGTCCTGAACGTGTTTTGTAGAGTTACTCAGTGTCTGATACCGGGTTCCTCAGGATCGGCTGCCAGGGGTTTACTGGCTGAAATTGGCAAACGAAAACTGTATTTATTGGGCAGAATTATTAACTCTAGCTCTTCATTAGCGTATAGAAAGTTGTTTATCCGGAAACTTATTAAATGGAAATGGAGGCAGAGCAATTCAACAATGTCAGGGTTTATCCCTGATATTATGAAATTGTTGGTTGATGTAAAATTACTCGGTTATGTTACTGAATTTCTAAGAAATGAAGAATTCCCAGCAAAAAGTATTTGGAAGAAAATTGTCAAAAAAGCAGTGTATGAAAGTGATCATTATGAATGGGTGGATAAAATTGAAAGGAAAAAAGAACATGAATTCTATCTCTGGAGTCAACCTTGTATATCTTTGAGCATCTGGTATGATCTGTGGAAGTACGGACAATCAAAGCAGATAACAGATATTCTTCGACTTCTGTGTTGGCTCCTTGACTGTAAATGAGGACAGATTTGGGAATCCTGGAACGTTAAACGGAGTTTGTTCAGCATGTCACGGACTTTATAATAATGCTGTTCATCATGCTTTATTGTATTGCAGAAAGACAGAAGAAGTTAGAGAAAGCTGGTGGTCTTGGATACAAGATCATCTTCCAGTTAGAACATGTATGAATTTACATTCCTTGGATGATCAGAGTTTTATCAGAACCTTATTGGGGGACTACTCAGTTTTAAGTAGAAGTAATGACAGTTTTAGTGATGACTTTAAGTTAAAATGCGCGATGTACATTTCGTACTGTGTCCAAAACTCGGTCTTTGATCCGTTTGTGATTAGATAGTTATTAGCATATTATAATTTAACCATTAATCTTATCAATTTGTAAATTTTATAATACCTAGTTTAAATTCTTTTGTAAATAATTTACTCTTCATTTTGGAGGCAATTAAAGATTTAAACTTGTGACTTGACTTGAACTCAGACCAAATCACTTATGACTTGACTTGGACTTGCAGGAAATGACTTGTGACTTGACTTGGACTTGCAACATAGGACTCGTTAACAACTCTGGTTCCGTGTAAAGTTGTGTTCGCACTGCTTGTTCCCAGTTGTTGTAACAAGTTTGGAACAAGCTGTTAACAACTTGTAACAAGCTTGTTGGCATTATCAGACTTGTTGCAAGGTTGTTCTAACAAGTCTGATACAGTCCTGATAAACAAGATTCGGTTACAAGGTTGACGACACAAGGTTCAGAGGCGTAGCCATGATTTTTGGTCAGGGGTGGGGGGGGGGAGTGAGAACCCAGGTGGGGCCATGCCGCCAGTGACTCGAGACGCAAAGTTCGCGCAAGCTATTCTGTGCAGTGCTGGGTAAAATTAATTGTCGACACATGTGATTTTTCACCGAGCCCGCGTTAAAACTTCACTGGTAAAAAACCCAGATTGGTTTAAACTTCATCTAACCCTCATTTAATTAATACATATTGAAATAATTAGGGTTAGAAAAGGTATGTGTTTCAAGCTGTGTGCCGCAAATATATAAGCGAACAAGATTTTAGGTTTCACACTGAATGCGCAGCAAAGCATGTATTCCACAGAATTTTTGCGTTATTGACAGAATGAAGCTATATAATCAAGGGTTCCCTTTTTTATACAATACATTATATCAGGGGGGGGGGGGCAAAATTTTGCCACGGGGGCCTGGCCCCAGCCACGCCTCTGACAAGGTTGTAACAATACTGCTATATCATGACTGTATCAGACTTGTTGGAACAACGATGCAACAAATCTGATAATGTCAACAAGGTTGTTACAAGTTGTGACAGTTTGTTCCAAACTTGTTGACAACTTGGGACAAGCAGTGCGAAGACAACTTGTTGCCAGACTTGCTACAATATGTTAGACTTTTGCATGTGTAGTGGTCGTGTCACGAGACACAATTCAGCAAAAATATTTTAAAGGTGATCTACAGTCCGATCCGCGCATGTGCACAAAGGAGCCCACTTTTTATGATACAAACAGTTTAACTATGTTTTGGGTTCTTGAAAAGCCTGATTATCGTTTCTTGATCATTTATTATACTCTAAAAGCTTGAAAATATAAATAGTTGTCGAATAAAGCTCAATATTTTGGACACAAAAATGTAAACAAAGGCTTTGTTTACATACGGACTGTAGAGCACCTTTAACTAATAAAAGAAATATTGATTTATGTCAACCGGGGGGGGGGGGGACATTATAAGCTGTAGACCCAGAGGAGCGAATGAGGGTCTTCCCAAAACGCAACGGAATGATCTATTAGCAATTCGATTTCAATTCCTGCGGGGGCCTAAAATGTCTTATGCTTAAGAATTGCAAAGTGGATTTCTTAGGAAATTCCGAGGTTGCGTTTTTTTTTATACAGTACCCTGCAGGGGCGGATCTAGGGTAAGTCCAATCAGTCGCGTGACTGACGTATTTTTTGCAAAGAAATAATTAATTTATTATTTCGAATTTGAATAATTAATTCCCGAATATAATATGAAATTCATATCATAGTCCAGTATACGTCTTTACGAGCTCAGTTTTGAATCAAATATATGCTTTATCTAGAGCAGCGGTAAAACGCAAGAATCTCGCAGAATCGGGTGGTCGTTATGCTCATTTGATTGGTCGAGAGGTAATTTGGACTTATCTCGACTGATCTGTGGGGTGGCCGGACTGATTTGCACTTTAAGGGAGTCTTTTTCAGTCCATTTCGTTCCTTTGATTGGTCAATTTGAAAATATTGTGGGGAGGTCGGACTGAATTGCAACTTAAGGGAGTTTTTATGGGGTGGGCCGACTGATTTGCACTTTAAGGGAGTTTTTATCAGTCCATTTCCTTCATTTTGATTGGTCAATTTGAAATTATTGACAATTTCTATTGGTTCATTTTTTTGGACTGATTCGGACTTATTCGCGGCAGGGGATATCAGTCCTTGAAAATTGCGAAATTGATGCAAAGCAGTCTTTCATATTCCCGTATACGAAGGTTTTTCATAGTTGGGAAAATTATTTTACGATGTCGAGTATTTATATGTACGCGGCCGATTTTACGAAACGATTTAACGGCCTTTAATAAACTTGAATTGTCTCTGAATGAGGATTATTGTGGGGCAGCTAAGATATCAAGCGGCAGCTTTTATAATGTTGTTCTGTTCAACAACGAGAAGGCACTAAGTTGGGACTTCTCTGCTACGTGCTTCACAATAAATCACAAATATCATGGTCGTAATTTGGGTGGTAAAGCCAAAGGGAAAGTGTGCACTGCTATAATGTATGAAAATATCCAAAATTATGAAACAGAAATGAATATATTGCAATGTATCTTGTATGATAAATGCGAAGTTGAAATATAACACGCTTTAATACATTTTTACACGCAATCACGACTTGCAACTTACAATGCGCTTTGGGGCCTTATAGCTTTCCTGCTGTATTTATAATTTATAAATGCATTGTCCATTATAAAAAGGGCCAGAATAGAGCATTGGCATTGGAGGGTTAAATTAAAACAATATAATTTGGACAGGGCCGTTGCGAAGGGATATGGATTGGGGGGGTGTCGAAGGTCAAATTGCCGAGTGACGCTAGTTGAATTTGCCGAGTTTTTCAAAAGTTTGTAAAGGTTAGATATAGGTAATAAGAATCATATTGGTGTGCTAGTAACTGAGGGACACCAATATGGCTCTTGTTTTGAAATGGATGCCTGTTCGTGTGTTGTTGCTTTATACTAAACATATAAAGCTGAAAAAAATTTAAATTTAACATAATTTATACTGTGTTTTCATAAGTCCTAAATCGAGACTGAAACTATGTGCACACGGGTCACGTTTTTGCAGTGCCGTTTTCAAATTTAGCGTTTAGGCGCCTTGTTCACATTGATCGTTTTTCTCGCAACATTTTCTGACAAAGCACTAGTTTTTTATAGTCTTCGTTTCCAAATTCAAACACGGAATTTCATTTTCGCCTTCTACTTTTCTGTTTACACTATAACAAAGTGCCAAAACGACCAAACGTTTCAGACATAGAGAACGAATGTTTGGCATCGTTTTCACTATTTGAAACGTTTTTGCTTCCTGACGTCGTTGTCATACGTTTTCGTGTGAACAGAACGTACGTGAAAATGGTACTTTCAGTTTCAGAAATTAACGCATTAATTACAACAAAAAACCAAAAAACGCTCGGAAACGGAACCGTGTGCATTAACGAGTGTTTTAGACTGTGGTGCAGACGCGCATCTCCGCAAAGTCAGAAAAGTTATCCAAGTATTACCCTGGTTCCAGAGGTTTATTTTTATTATTTTCATTGCGAAGGGGAGAGAAAAATAAACCTCTGGTTGAAAGCGGCAATTGATTCATTGAGCCGCGCCAATCAGTTTGAATTAGGGTCAGATCCTGACTCTGTCT